TACGTAGTCCCCGGCAGGCAAGATAGCCCCATCTTGCCCACTGGGGTAGCCAATCACAGTGTAGGATTTGGTTCATCTTCCCCACTCTTGGAGCTGGCCATATAATAAGTCATGATATTACTGGTGCTGTGTGTTCTGCATTTACTAAAAAGGCATTATATCACACAGACCTGCGCAAGAAGCTCTTTAGCTCTTCCACTTGACTGGACATCATGCAGTGCATTGTGTGCATCCTTGATCATGCCATGCCTGAAGGCACACAGGCCAAGTTGTACCATGGTCCTGTTGTAGAGAATCTGGATGGTGCAAAAACAACACGGATCATCAGAGAATAAAGACAATCGTCAAATAGTTGATTTTGTCTTGATGAACTACATGTATCAAATTCTCAGCAACGGCATTACGAAATGTATTAATAAATTAACAAATAAAAAATATATGGAATTCATATAACATCTCAAACTTCTGACAAAAGAGAAGAGCTCCTAAATTTTCCTAAAATTTTAAATGTTAACTCAGCTAATAAATGCAGGTATCTTCAAGAGTATGGTAATTAATAATGAACAAAACAAATACAGAAAACGAGAGAAAAAGAATAAAATAAATTTACTGCAAAAAAATCCTAAGAACAACAGTGAAAGAGAAAAGCAAACAAATAAATGACTGTAGGAGTTGCTTTTATTACAATACTGGGCAAGAAATTCTACATTGTATGTTTCATTTACTAAGGCTAAAGACAAAAATATTGACTGTGGCCAACTCTCATGAAACATGCGGCAGTGTGAACACCAGATAGTCTTAACACAAGACTAGTCTGATATCACTTCTTCTACTGCTTTATCTACCNGGGGGGGAGAGGGAGGTGCTCTACAAAATTCTATAGGGGGAGGCTCTACCCCAAGGTCCAACCCCTTACTCCTTTCCATACCATTTTGTGATATCCCTACCCTTTTATATACCTGAAACCTGAAAAGGGCACCCTGTTTTGGGCAGAGCCTCCTCTTATAAGCCATTATAGGAAGTACCCCCTTGCTAACTTTTACAATTTCATTGATCTTCTTTCTCCTTAGTTCTATTTTCAATTAAGAACTTTAAAATATATCAAACACTTGATGCACTCTTTTAACACCTTGATGTGCTGAGCACATTCCTTGTTAAGCCTTAGTTCCTATCTATATACATGTAGCATTCCTTCCTTTGAATATCTCTTTCACTCACCTTTTTTCCTCTAGCAGAGAGTATCTCATGCAGTTTCTTTAATACAACTGCATGAGTGATTTCTGTGTCCTTTGGAAAGAGCTGCTTGACCTTTTCCTAAAGAATATATCAACCATGAGCATGTCTAAAAAAAAATTTACCTTTGGCTTAAAATTTATGTTAGTGAACAGAGGCTATCAAAGGCTTTCACAAGTGGCCCATGCGTAAGGTTTTGACCTTTATTATACACATAACATGACTGAGAAAATTACTTCATTGTGATTGGCTGAGAGAAGGCCAATTTATTGTTAATTTTAAATTTGCACTGCAGTGAAAAAAGCAAGCTTTTGTAACTTTCTCAGTCATATAATAAATGAGTTATGGTATGAAAGCTTGAGCAATTAAGGACTTTCAAATTTCTCCTGCCTAAAGGCTCATGCAAGTTTGAGAGAATTTTCAAAAGTCACTTGTAGTTTAAATCCTTAAAGTGCCACCAAGCCCCAAAATGTTTATTCCTTTAATAAAATCTAATAGTTTCCCTGATTACTTCAGCGAAAAAATCATCTCGATTGATAAAATCCCTGCTTTTCTACAGGCGTTTGAACGTGTAATTTCTATGTTCACGACTGCACAAAGTGGGATCTGGGTCGGGCTTCTAGTGACATCACTTTGGGAACCGAGCTAAAACACCCAAGAGACTTTGACTGAGCTTCGAGCGCTGTCAAAAAATTTTTGGGTTATTTGTGATTCATATTTTATCGAAACTGGACAAGATATTTAAGTGAAAGAACTGTATCATCTAGCAGTACAATTTGGAGTCTAGTTACGATTTGGACGGCTGCGATGTATACTTTTTTCCATTTCTAAGTGCGGGTCGAGATTGCCGCATTGTAATGTAGGCCAGGATCTACATTTTGCGGGTCCATTTGGGTTATAAAGATACAAATACTGGCTGAAGAGTTAAGTTACAGCTCTTAAAGATCAATAAATTAAAGATGTCAGTGAACATGAAGAGTTGGTAATTTGACTTAATGGAGCGTGCAGATTTCGGAGTGTCAAAACATTTTTAGATTCAAACATTAATTTCCCCCGAAATACAAGTTAAAATGCGATGCAGTCATAGTCCACCCCTGCCTACTTCTCCGGATCAATGATTGAAAGTAGTTTTAACATAAGAGATAAGCAGAGATGTTGGCAAACAATATCCAAAGGTGAGGTAACTTTTTAACTTGTAGTATATGCATAGTCAATTACTGTGTATGAATACAAGCTACACAAATTTGCATATTTTGTACTAGTAAATTGTGGAAAATCCTTCAACAAGATCTTGAAAAGAGGTTCAGAGTACTTTCAGTTAAATGAATACATTTTTACTTCACTGTTATTTTGAATGAAATGTCCATTTTACGTACGCTAACAACCTGGGAGTCCTCAACTTATTAGTTTGCGTTTCGGTTCATTGACAAGTGCATTCTTCTTTCAGCACGACAATCTCCGTTGGTAGCTATAGAGTCGAATCTTAATCGTTTGTTTCACTTTCCTCATATATTTATAAATGCTTGATCCTTTCTAAGTTTCTAATTTAGATAATTATACTTATTTCGTTCCTCAAAGACGAAGCTCAAAGAACAAAACAATTCTGCAATCACAATGGCCATTGAGAAACTGGTTGGATTACCACCTCAGGCGTGCGTGTGTTTTCATTAAAATCTACAAATACACAGCTAGTTCACCAGCTCGAAGCCTAAACAATCTTAATCGCCTCGTTGCAGGACATTTTTGAGTACAAAAACGCGATGCGTTTAATTTACTGTGTAATTTCCTCACCTATAGTTTCATCTGGGACTCGGAGGATCGTTTGCACTCGGAATAATCAGATGGCTTCAAGCTTACCCCAAATTTGTGTCTTATGCAGTACTTTGACAATGCCAAGCCTTCCACTAGAGATAGAGAATATACAAGCCATGAAAATCTCTAGGTTTTTACAGAAGTGGCGATCCTGATATCAAAGAAATCCTCGATACAGCTTGGCTTTAGCTTCGCACAGATCAGCCCACTTCTTTGGTCTTTTTCCCGTTTCTGGTCGAGTTTCATTAAGATAGAAGTATTGAATGAAGAGGAATACTCTATCCTACGCAACCCGTATTGCTACAGCCTCCACAAGACATCTTCCTTGCATTCTGCAATGATTTTGACACACACTATCGCATGTTTGCTATATTCTTCTCAGAAACAAAATATTGTTATTAATGACGTCAGAAGCCAACTCATCCCATTCTCCGCTATTCCTCAATCATGAACATGGAAAAGGGCAATTTTAAAAACTTTGAAAATTCATACAAAATTAACAAAAGTAGCTACAACAATAATATTTTCGCAGTGGTGATCAGGAGAAAAAGGAAATTTATATTAGTGAAAAAAATTTTTTGGGTTAGTGGCACTTTAATTGCTTTCATTCATAGGATTATACATATTGCAGGTGTTCACGGTTTTGTAAGTTTGACTGTAATACTCAGGCTATACCAAACAATGTACATGCAATGATAATTTTCACACAGCTAGCGAACAGTGGATTACACACCACAGCAGATGAAGAGGAGCCCTTTACTTCTGTCCAGCCACCACTGTCATCTTCACCATCTTTGGTTTTCAATTTAGTTGTCTTCTTCTCTTTAATTTTCTTTTTCTGTTTACCTTTGTCATCTGGGCCTTTCTCTCTGCACAGAACGAAGACAGTGAGTGTAAATTCATCAAATCAGTGTTTTACAATATTGATTATACACTGTCAGGGACTCCAGAGTCCCTCTGAAAATTTGACGTAGAAAGATAACAATGTGTAGTTCCAAAATATATCCATACCTCCCCCACGGAAGGGAATTTTTCTAAGTCCCCCCCACCCCTCTGGAAATTCCAATTGAGCTTCATACATTTCTTTAAAGTTTTTGGTCTTACAGAACCCCCACCCCCCAGGAAATTCCAATACCTTCTGTGGGAGGAGTATGGATATTTTCTGGAATTGAACAATCTGAAGAAAGTGGCACTTAGCATTCAGAATATCTCAACCAAAAAAAGACAGAAGGAAACAATTATGAGTTTTTCCAGATATCTATATACAGGAGCAATATTATTGTTTAAATATGTTCGTCCATATGGCATTTTTGTGGCGCGTGTAATGCTGAAAAATGGACATTCTTAACAAGTGCACTCCTAGATTCATACTTACTGGATAAAATTAATTTACAACCTCTGTATATCAGATGCCTTCAAAATTCTTTAGTTACACTATGTAAGAGTCTCTTTTTCAATAACTATCCAAGATAGTTTAGTAATATGTTTACTCTGCACTGTACAACCTATAGTTTACAAGGTAATTATATTCTGTCTCTTCCTGATCCAAAGACAACAACAGTTTTACTATTGGCCTGCATTCCTTTTCATATATAAACTCTCTTTGGGACTCACGAAAGATATTACAATATGACTCTTTTCAGTAGCATTGCAGCTTGTCTCTAGTTATAATATGTACGTAGTTTAGCTCTCATTATTTTTAGCATATTTATTGTATAAGTATAGTATTAATTTTTGTTATATTTATGTTCTCAAAGATATTAGCTTATTTTGGCTACATAAAATTCAACAGGAAACAAAGTATATGTATGTACTATGTATGCTAAAAGTGTGTGAAACGTGAATATGTTTCTTATTTACATTTTGTGTACTGAAAGATGCATACAAAATATAATTCTACATAGTGGAATCCCAATTTCTCGAATCCTCAGTTTTTCAAACCTCCCGATAACTCAAACCACCAGTCCCGATAACTCAAACCAAAAGTCATTTATTCTCTTAAGTCAAAAGTTGTAATTTTACCCCCAAATTCTTGAACTACCTGATTTTTTGAACCAATTTTCCTTTCCCTTGGAGGTTCAAAAAATTGGGATGCCACTGTATATAATTATTACATATCTTTCATTTCACAATCTGCAGACTGTGTGCTAAACTATGTATGAAACAATGAAGTCTGAGCCGACAGTGGTTTTCTCGGTTCTGACAAAGAATGCCTCATTTGTTTCTGTTGCATACTATTTTCCCACCTGAAAGGCAAAGCAGTGCTCTCCCAGGGTCTACAAGTATGCTGTGAAAGTCAATCACCTTCCTACAGTGAAGTCTGCCCGGTGGCCTATCAGGCTGGGTCTTGGATAGATCTATCTTTTGAAAGNAAGTGTGTGAAACATGAATATGTTTCTTATTTACATTTTGTGTACTGAAGGATGCATACAAAATATAATTCTACATAGTGGAATCCCAATTTCTCGAACCCTCAGTTTTTCAAACCTCCCGATAACTCAAACCACCAGTCCCGATAACTCAAACCAAAAGTCATTTATTCTCTTAAGTCAAACGCTGTAATTTTACCCCCAATTTCTTGAACTACCTGATTTTTTGAACCAATTTTCCTTTCCCTTGGAGGTTTGAAAAATTGGGATGCCACTGTATATAATTATTACATATCTTTCATTTCACAATCTGCAGACTGCGTGTTAAACTAACTGGCTATGCAACCTAACTGTATGAAACATTGAAGTCTGAGCCGACAGTGGTTTTCTCGGTACTGACAAAGAATGCCTCGTTTGTTTCTGTTGCATACTATTTTCCCCCCTGAAAGGCAAAGCAGTGCTCTCCCAGGGTCTACAAGTATGCTGTGAAACTCAATCACCTTCCTACAGTTAAGTCTGCCTAGTGGCCTATCAGGCTGAGTCTTGGATAGATCTATTTTTTGAAAGCATAAAATCATACCCCCCCCCCTCTTTACCTCTTATACGAGACTTGATTTACCACCCTTACAACTGTTGCAACTTTTTCCTTTTACACTTTTTAAAGTCAAGTTTATCTGACAATAAACCACACATCAAGAGCTGGAGCTTTTATTACTGTTACTGATAATAATTGATAATAATTGATATTATATAGGTATTAAAAGATTGAAGGAGGTGGTGGGGGGAGGGGTAGAAAGAGCCTTCACATACCTGATTCTCAGTAAGTGAAATTTATTGAGAATCAGGTATGTGAAGGCACTTTCAACCCCTCCCCCTTCCCCCGCCACCCCCTCCAACCTGAATGGGGTTAGTAATAAACAGACTTACTTCTTTATAAACATCCAGTGTTTTAATTGTGTTGGACCTCCCTCGCCACCAATATCACTGTCACTTGAAGATGACATATCGTCACTGCTATCCCAATCAATACTGTCATCATCATCATCGTCATCTACATCACCTCCAGCCTAACTATACCAGAGTTTGATACTTAGAGTTTAGCAAGAACCTTTACAAAAATAAAGAGCGATAATGATTTTTAAAACTAGATATGAGAAACTTACTTCAGTTGCCTTGGCAGGCTTGCTTTTATCCAGTATCACTTTCTTTCTAGAAAAATCCTCTGCCCCAAGGAAGTCATCATCTTCATCTTCTTCCTCTGAAGCTGTGACAACATTAAAACAAACAGTTTCATAACAGCACCAAGACATGTTGATCGCTCATGTACTGAGGATACCCAATGAAAGGATATCAGAAGTTGCCTCAAGATGGACTCAAATCAGGAGGAAGAAAGCCAGGCAGACCAAAGACCACCTGGCGAAGGTCAGTGATGAAGGAACTGAAAGAGATGGGTCTCTGATGGGGCGAAGCATAGACCAGGGTTCAAAGGCGAGGTATGATTATGGCCTTATGTCCCAAAGGGGATGAAGAGGATAAGCAAGTACTTGGACATGTTGACATTATCAATATGTGTCCTTCCTTATGATATCTAAATTTAACATGCAGCTATGATATGAATAATGTTTTGAAAATCCATTTGCCCAGTTGGTAAGAAATTTCAGTTCTCACTTGCCCCCACTGATTACTTGCCAATAAGGAAACCAGCATGGTGATCAGAGAATGAATGATTTTATCATCTTTGCTTTCAGCTCATTGTTTCCCTGGCCTTGCAGACTTGAGTTTTGCAACGGTTTTTGACTGGAAATTATCATTTATTGAACTGACATTTTCACTCACACACACATTTGAGACTACTGAGGCTAATTTGACTTGTCCACCAGGCCACTGAACTCCTATTTTCACTTGCCCAAGAGAAAAATTTACCTTACCTGGGTTTCTTCCTGTCCTGACATTTGGGTACTAAATTAAATAATTTTTGACTACTGGTCTAAAATTGTATCAGAGTAAGAGCTTAGAATACAGTTTGTCTTGACTTGTCATACCTGATTCCTCCTGACCGGACTCTCCAGATGCCACCGGGTTCTGTTAATTACATATTACAATTATTAACAAGTTGAACTCAAGATCTCTTGTGTGGCCTGAGATATTGACTTAACACGCAAACATATACAGTGAAACCTCTATTAAGCGGACACCTTTGGGACCTTCCCAAGTGTCTGCTTAATAGGGGGTGTCCGCTTAATAGAGGTTTCTAAAAATTGCGCGATGTTTGTTGACAATTAACATTCAACGGCTACTCTGTACTGTGATAAAGTTCCATTTTGTTAAGGAAGGTATCCAGAGTTCAAGTTCAATACCTTTCATTACCAATTTTAATTTGTTTTTTAAATGCAAAAACATAACAGCAAAACAGCAACGATAATACATGCGGTACAAGGACTCTTTCAGTGTTTGTCTACCAAGAAGGATTTGATTGTGAATAGCTGTGCTGTACTTAGGTGAATTTTGATTGCGGATGACAATCATGCAGCTGGATATCGGTCTAATCGACAGTTTATTGGCAGCTAAATGTATTGATTTGTCTTTATTAATCGACTACAGTATTTAACGGACGTAATCCAATACTATCTGTACATTGTCAATTCAGTCTGGTGTCTGCTTTATAAAGGTTTTTAACGATAGAAATTAGCCAAATACAATTTATTTTAGTGTCCATGTCTACCTACGTGGATTACCCTGAAGAGTATGAAAGTTTCAAAGAAATTTAGACTCACCTCTCTGTATTTCAAAATGTCCTCTTCAAAATCCTTGTTATATTTCCTCAACTTTTGCCTTAAGGTAGCCAAAGCCTGTAAAAAGAAAATGTTCATATATACATACAAAGTGATTCATGAAATATTTGCAAAGCAACAATTTTAGCTTCTATCCTTCACTCCCCAAAGCCAATAAACTTGTTGCTTTACATTAATGAGAAATGAAATCAGAATTACTTTCCTCTAGATAGCTTGTGTCAATGAATGATGAACATCTTTCTGATAGAATGTTCTTTTCACTCACCCTAGCATTCACTTTGCTAAGCTTCTTGCGGCCTTCAGTATCTTCCCAGTTCTGACAGAAAAAAATTAGCAGTCCTTTTAAAAGCCATTTATAGTAAACTGTACACCGAAAACAATTAACACTTGCATACATGTACATGTACTTGTAACTCTAAATTTAGTTAGTTTACAATAATTACAAATTAAAATTAGAGCACATGATCGCATCTATAGGCTGATTTTTTTTAAGGCTGATGTTAACACAACAGAAAGATTCAGTTAGTTTGAAATGTTGTTTAATCTTGAGTCATAGCAAAAAGTTCACTTTTAATACGTACTTTTGAATTCTCTCAAACTCATTTTTTTTTAAAAGATGGTGCCCAGGATATCCCCTGAGAGAAACCCCTGACAGCCACATGAATGCTATTTTCTCTTTGTTGTCAACTTGGTTATAAATGACTACATCTAAAATATAGCCAACAAAATGCAGTGGCATGATCTGCCAGGCAATGATAATGCAATGTTATTGCACAAGAAAGATGTTTTTCCTCTTGGAAATTAAGTGAAAGCTAAATCTTCAAATACATGTAACCCTTTTTAACTGCCCTTGATTGTTTTACCTCTTTGACGAAGTCTTCAAGCTCAGTTAGAGAGCGAACATAGAACTGTGGAATGCCTTCTTTATCAACTACAGCTTTTGCTTTGGAAAAAGCTTTTCCAAGATTCTCAAATTCTACAGGAAGAGGGGACAACAAAATGCTAATGAAATGACACACTGTAAAATTCCCAAACAAATGTATTAAAGTGCCTATGAAGTAAAAAATAATTTCTGCTTATTTGAAATTTAAGGCTTTTCAAAGAAAAGAAGAGTGGCATTTTGCTTTTTGGAATATATTTGTTTGTTTTGTATTATGCAAATGAAGAAAGTAATGACGTCATAGGTGGTTCAACTAAACAGAGCAACCCTCAATCAAGAATATCTCTAGAAATATTAAAGCAGTGTTCTTTAAACTTGGCACCAGAACTGTACATCACAAAAGAAATAAAATGACACCTGTCATGCCATCACCATGACAACAGTAACACCACTGATCCTGTTTTAATAAAGACTAAAATTCCCAGATTTTATTTTAAACAAGGATCATCCACTCCCAACAATCTAAGGGGCAGAGTTAAGACAATATGAAGAAGCTAGTCATAAAAGGGGATAAGTGACGATTTTGGTTGCTTTTCTTTTTTCTTGCTCCAAATTAGCTGAATTTTTCCATGTGGTCTTCAATGTAATAGANTTTTTTTTTTATGCTCCAACATTTCTGGACATATTCTTGATTCAGTATTTTACTGTTCAAGTAGAACTATTTGTGATGTCATCACTTTCATCATTTGCACGATACAAAAACCTGAATGTATCTCTAAAATGAAAAAAGATCTTCCAAAAAGGAAAATGCCGTTCTTCTTTACTATGAAAAGCCTTTCAAATAAGCGGCAATCATTTTTTACTTCATAGACACTTAAAGATTAACAATAACTAAAGACCATAAAGATGGATGTAATGAGAAATATAGAGTAAATGGGCAAACTAACCTGTGAGGACTTTAGAAACGTCTTTGATTTTCTTGTGATTCTTTAGCTGTTTGATAGAGTTTGTTAATTCTTCAAACCTGTGAAATAAAATCAATAAACAAAGGATAACATATTACACTTCCCAGGCAAGTATTAGAGCTATTCTACTTTGAATGATCACAAATATGTTTAAGGATAACATAATATGACAATTCAGGGCTTGACACTAACTTTTGACACCACTTTCCATTTTCGAAAGTAGATTTCATATTTTACTTTCCATCTCAAAATTTTATTTTTCAAAATGAAGGCCATAGGAGAGATCCAAAATGGTGGATCGAATGTTCCATACCACATGTATTTATTGCACCCAGACCTATTCGGCAGCTCTCTCAATACTCCAGTATCGCAGATTGGTAAATGCTAGAATGGAGTAAACTCATCCATTTGAGGACAGCAAATCATTGTTGGATCTGGTTATTTTTATCATGTGACTATTTTCTATACGCACATTTTTCAGTGAGTATAAAAGTTACTTTCCAGCTTAGTCCAAAATTTACTTCCCAGATCGGTAAGTATTTTGGTTCATTTTTGATTTTTTACTTTCCAAGAAGTAACCTGACTTTCCAAAGGAAAGAGGGTAAGTGTTAGTGTCACGCCCTGGATGTAGGACTCATCCTTCACAGCTGGGTTTTTTAATGACTTAAGACTGGTTTGCATTGAACATAGTTAATCAGTGCATGGAGCAATTACCGTTTATCCTTTTGGCTTCTAACAACTCTCTTTGTCTCTTCTTCATCATCACTGAAGACAAAAGACCTGAGGAAAAAAACACAATAATTATTATCAAGTGTATCATAATGCACAGATGTAGCTAAGAAAGGACTATGCAGAAACCTGTGCACATTCAAAGCATGTTGCACTACCCCTACACAAAGTCTTTCTTTTAGCTGGTAATAAGCTCACTTTCAGTTGGTGAATTGAGCCAGAGTAAGATCTCTTAGTATACTTGTTCAAGGTAAATAGAAAAGAAACAACACCTATTTGTCAAGGAATAAGTTCTGTCTGGGAATGGTTCGTGCTTGGCTACCCACTGACACTCGTTACTAATCGATAGGAGGTTACGTGCACAAGTGGGGCTCCGATGTAAAAAGGATTGGGGTGCTTGTCGTACCGTTTAGGGGTTAAAAAGCAGTTTTGGTACCTCTTGGGGTGTTCAGTCTCAAAAGGTCCGCAGCAGGTGCTTTTGCGCTATCTTTTAGGGTGTTGAGCCAAAAAAACATAACAGGAGAAATATGTAAATCAACCGACTTTTAATTTTGTCTCAGAATTGGCACCTTTTAGGCGTGAAAAGAGAAACTTCAAGCCACACCCACAGAACAGGATCTTTGTACCTCTTAGCGTTTCTTTCCAAAATTTCTGACGAGCACCCCCGTCCTTTTTATATGGGAGCCCCCCCCCCCCCCCCCCCCCCCC